GTCCGCCGCTCCGCTTTAGTGTATCCTTGTAATTTCTGTGCAACTAGTGCTTGTTGATGTCCATTTGGTGCTCAGCTTGCTAGTGACCTGGTTCACCGTTTCTTATACATTTGCGCTCCCTTTGTGCGATTTTTCTGACGAAATGCCTTCCTGTGCTCCCTGATAACGGATACTCTCTGCAGAAGCTCTTGATGCAGGAGGAATACTCAGGGACACATTTAGAATTAGCCAAGTGAGTTTTGTGCTAGACATTTGCATGAATGTTTGGCTTTGTTGGTGTACACGCAGACATTAGTGGATTAGTTCTTGGCCCGATGCTACGTGGCGTATTCCTGGGGAGAGATAAAAGAGTCGTTAGCTGGAGGTGGAAAACGTGTTTTCAAATACGTTTAAAAAGGAATTTTTTCTTTAGGCTTCCTACATTTGTGAGGCAGTGCTTTGGAACCAAACCGCCAGTCTCGTGTACCTCAGGTTTCCCATCTGATCATTTTTCTTGTGTTAACAGCTTCACAACTGCTAATGTTGTTTTGAAGTGATGAAACAGCAGTAAAGGGATTCTTTTCAATGTTAAAGGCTGAAGCCTTGGGGGCGTTGGGTAAAGTGGACGAAGCGAAGGAGCAGGTGCGACAGGCGGATAAATTCAAACAGGAACGCGCTGCACTCGATCGACTGCTGGCACAGTCCGCCAATCCCACAAGCCATATCGAAGATCTGGCCAATCAGCTTACCAAGCCAATGGAAGTTTGTCAGGTTTGCTGCACTTCCATTCTGTTAACTTCTTTTCCGGTCCTTTTTAAAAAGCATCTAATTCTGTTTTGATAATTGGCACGACTTTTGGGGAGGTGGGGTGGGAGGTGGATTTGTGGAAACCGGGACAAAAGGGAGGCCTCTGGGCTTGAATAGCTTTGTAAATGTGGATTGAAGAACTGCACGCTGAGTTTATCACAGGAGAAAGAGGTCCCAGTTTTTGCCAGGCTTTTTCGTCATACATCGCTCTTTCGTTAATTGCTTAATTCCCCTCGTACATTTTTAAGTCGGAGCAGCTCCACTGTTAATTAGATGAAACTACTCAACACTGTGGCATCACCGTTTCTTGGCAAAGCATTGTTCTGAATACCGTAAAAAGCCTGAGAAAAACCGGTATTTTGATCGGTTGTCATCTCATCTTAGTGCATTGACACATCGACACAGCTCTTTTTCAAAACGATTTTTCAAGTATATGAAATATAAGAATGAATTGAAGGTTTGTGGTTGTTTTATGCTTGTAAATGATGTACAACAGCGGATTGATGATCATTACGCCGGCAAGCAGCATATGGCCTATGCAAGAATCCGCGCCACCATTGAGGAGATGGATCGAAAACGTGAAGAGAGACGCAAGGTTTGCTCTTCTCCAATTTTTTTGAAAAATCGCACCTTCTCATATTTCCGAATAAGTCCATTCGAAACACGGAAAGTCTCATCTGTGATAGCATCGTTACATATGCCGTCGATATCATCCTTATTTGTTAAAGGCACTGGAAAAAGAGCGTGAAGAGAAGGAAAGGAAAGATCGTGAAAAGAAAGAGAGAGACGAAAGGGACCGACGAGACGAGAGGGATCGGGAAAGAGAACGAGAAAGAGATAGGGACCGAGATCGGGAACGTGACCGGGACCGGGATCGAGACCGAAAACGCGATGACAGAGACCGCGGGTGTGTACTCTAAATTCTGTTGAAAAAAATTCATTTTCATTTAAAAGCTGTAAATTTATTTGGCAGTGAGTAAAATAAGCACTTTCTTATACTGCTTATCCACCATGGCTTGCCATTTGTGGCGAGCGATATAGAAAAATCGGGAAAACAGCTGTGTAGAGGATTGGACAAAGCATCTTACAAAAACAGTAGAAAATCCATTCATCTTTTTTCTATCGCAAATTATTGATAATGTTTCCTTGAATATTTAGTCGTCTGTTTTCACGGAACTATGATCGGCTTGCTGTGGCGTTTTCTTGCGTCTCCTCAGTACATTATTTTTTATGAGTGGGAGGAAAATTGTAAAAAATAAAAATTAAAATTATGAAATCCCCCCTATTATTACCAGTCCGCCCATAGAAAGAAGATGGCGAGATCGCTGGCGAAATTGCTCTGTGTGCAGGAAACCACTGCAAGTGTTTTCAAGAAAGGGAGTAGGGGAAGAGGGAGAAGGGGTGAGCTGGGGGAAATTCAGTTACTTGTCCAGTCATAATAAACTGTAGAGGGAATTTTTTTTTGTGGTCGAAGGCCCTCTGCTGTGGTAATTTCGGCTAATTTAGTATTTTTATACCTCTACACTGACGTGGAGTATGGTGTGCGGCTAAACCAAAAAATTTAGTTATTTTCAGCTTATTTCCTTTTTATGCGTTTTTTGCAGCTATGCAATGCAGAAAACGCATATTGACGAGAGGTTGTCTGTGTGTTCGTGTGTCTGTGTGCCTGTGTGTGCGTCTGTCACGCACTTTCATCTCCGGACCTATAAAAGCTGCGATGTGTCTGTGTGTGCGCTGGGCCTCTGTATCGGTTTTTCATCTCGAGACCGGCAAAAGCTACGGAGCTGAAACTTTGGGGACTTGTGCGTGTGTGTGTGCGCTGCGCGTCTGTACCGATTTTTATGCGTTTTGTGCTGTGTAACAGCCGCGTTTTTTGCAGCTATGCAATGCAGAAAACGCATATTGACGAGAGGTTGTCTGTGTGTGTGTGTGTTGTGTGTGTGTGTGTGTGCGTGTGTGCGCGTGTGTGCGCGTGTCTGTGTGTTCGTTTATACCGATTTTTCATCTCGAGACCGGGAAAAGCTACGGGGCTCAAACTTTGGGGGCATAATCTACATGCACGTACGGGCCCCCATCCCCAAAATTGGCGCCAAAACCCG